ATCAATATTTTTTCGTACTCTTTCTATGAAAACTTTCTCCATGCTCTCTAACATCAGTCGTACATTCATGAAGAATCCAACGGTAGTTTTCAAATTTTAATTATCTAATCACTGTAGTTTTGATTGGATGACTTCATTCCTGAAAATATTGATGAGTCCGTATCAGTGTGTCTTCTGCCACAACTTTCTATTTCAAGCTCTGTTCTCTCTCACTACCTTACTGTGTGCGCAATTATATGTTCCCTAGAATCGAGTAACTATTTTGGTTCCTTCTACGGCCTTTACTAACAATGTGCACACACATGTACAACGAACTTAGATAAAAGACATGCTCTGCATGCTTCCCATATAAACAAAAACACTGTTCATGCACGCCTTTGCAGGGAGACCAGTATATGGACGAAATGAAAATGAACTCCCTAGTCTGCTTGAGATTTTGAGAGAACTGAAAGTATTGGTGATTCCACATGAGATTTACAGAGTTCAACTTTGAAGAGAACAATAGAAGTATTTATGGTTCTCTTTCTATTTGTTTTATATGGCTTTTGATAGTCAAGTACGGGATGATGTTCCCACAGAAGAATGTCATGAAGATGACTACTGAAACTATGCAATGCGAAATGGAAAGGAGGTTTTAAATTTTAAGTAGATTCGAGGGTTGCCCTTGATGTGTATTTTGATAAAGCAGCAGAGTAATTTTGATTGAGTATCATGCTTTTCAGTGCGCAGTCAAGTGTATTCAAAGCAATTTTCAGAAGTATCACATAAGTCATTCCTTCAAATATTAAATGTAATGTTCAAGTTATTAAACTGCCAATGAATGAGTGAAATATGACACATCATGACATTGAATATAAACTTTAGCTATGGTCAATATAATCTATCTGCGATTGGGCATGCAAATTATCATCAACAAAATTTTCTCCTTTTGGTTCATTGCCCATTAATGGCTGCCTAACTCCACTTGTGTGGTTTCTTCGCAGATACAGGAGAACATCAATCTCTTTTGCCAAACTCGTGATAACATCCTCAAAATTATGAACAAGTACGTTCTAAACTTGTGCTTGATATGCTACAGGATTGGTAGTGTTCGTTCCAGTCTTCTCTGATGTGTTTTCTTTTTCAAAAGACGAAGATAAACTTTTTGACTAATGCAATTTTCTTTTTAAATCTACTTTTAGCTCTAAGCCTGTCCCTGCTTGGAACTGCAATAAATTTTCTAGTTCTTCCAGATTATGGTAGGGATAGAATGACCACAAAATCTGGCAGTAAAGTAAAATTTGTAGTTTAGTTATGCTTAGTGCATATGCACTTTGCTGGCAGCCAATTATAGTAA